TAATCACGATCCAATTCATCAGACCTACAAATACAAATTCAGAAAGCTTTTTGAATTTGTAGGTCCGATGAATAGGAACGTGATTACGATTCCAATGTAATAAATTAGAACCATGGAATATTAGTGTTTGAGATTTTTTATTGTATTCTTACTCTGTCCTGGACATTCAGTTCTACCTGGATTCTATCCTCTTGGGAATTTATATATATATATATGAAGAAATATAGTCTTAAGATATGCTATATTTATGGGATAAAGTGCTCAATATCAGAGATAGAGCATGTGTAAATATAGCATGAAACAGACTGTCGCCTCTAAGTGTTGACTTTTATATATATATATATATATATATATATATATATGTGTGTGTGTGTGTGTGTGTGTGTGTGTGTGTGTGTGTGTGTGTGTGTGTGTGTGTGTGTTGTGTGCGTGTACTGCCAGCCAAATTTTTGGGACCACATTGATTTTTGTCCTTAAAACTTGAGAAAATAATCAGGTTTCATATTTTAAAAAATATTTTTCCTGTGTTTGCATTTAATTATGCAATGATTTAAATCAAAATGAGTATAAAGTAATTATAATCGCAATTAAAGCAAATTTATATTTCCTTTTCAACAAAACATCCACCCCGAGAAAATGAGGAGCAAATGTGTAAGCAAGTCTTATTTACTTATAGGCAATTCACTTTGAATTTTACAATCAATTTCTTTCCCGACTAATTCAATAATGCAGCAATCAGAAGGAAATTTTATGAATTTTTTATGAACTTAGAGAAACATTTCAGGGTTTTCCCAACCTTTGATCGGTAGTATATTGTCTTGTGGTTAATAATTAACATTTAATAAATATTTTTTGTACTGCTCATATTGGTACCCTTTCATTTGCCTTTGGTTTATTAACCAACCTATGTAGAGATAATAGATATATCTATATCTATTATTCTCAAAATATGTGTATGTATGTGTGCGTATGTGTGTTTGATCGGATGTTTATGCGTCTCGACAGTTTTCATCCTGTTTCGAGGAATTTCTCTTTGTTTGATTGATCATTCTCCAGTGCCGGTTTTGAATCCAAATTATTGCCGAAAATGGCTCTCCACTATTTCCTGTCCATTATAAGTTTTACTATTTACTATCTGTTCTTGAATATATATCTTTCAGAAAAATGTTAATACAAATATAGAGGTTAAATTATTACAATAATATTTTCTATATCTATATTTCTCAAAATGTGTGTGTGTGTGTATGTGTGCGTGTTTGTGTGTGTGTGTGTGTGTGTGTGTGCGCGCGCGTGCGTGCGTGGTGATTGGATGTTGTTTCTGAGTTTCCACAGTTTTCATCCGATTTCGATTAAACTTTTTTTGTTTGATCGATAATTTTCAATGCCGGTTTTTGGCTAGAAAAAAATTACAACCTTGAAAGTGAAAAATCGAAAAAAAATGTTTTTTAATCTTTGTGCAAAAATCAAAGGCAAAACGTAATGTCTATAAAAGATAGCGTACAATCAATTTAGAGAGTTTAAATCTAACCCAGAAGATTAGTAGAATTATAAAAAAAAATTATCGTATATTACTATTTTGACGGTCCATGGAAGAGGTTCCTTCCTTGCAAGATTGAGAAAACGGCCCTTTTCAGAGCCACCCCAATTCAAATTGTTAACCCCCCCATTTGGGGTGTGCCTCAGTTGCACCCAATTGTTGATTTTCGGGTGGGCTGACTTTAAACTTAAACTGCTCCAACGAAACGGTAAAAATTCCCAGTAATGAAACATCCGGTCGAAGACGGGTAATAATGCTATATATATATATATATATATATATATATATATATATATATATATATATGGTGTGTGTGTATGTGTGTGTGTGTGTGTGTGTGTGTTATATGAAAAGATTACTTAACTTTTAAATATCATTTTTATCCCGACATCAATGTTTCTTGATAAAATTTCCAGTATTCAGGGGTTGTGATTTTAAAAGGTTACTTAGATCCAGTGACAGCACCCAAAGAATGTGAGTTCAATACCTGGTTAAGGCAGTGGAGAACTTGAAGAGGGGAATTAACAGGAGATAACTGATAACTGATATCCATTAGACATGACACGTGAACCCAGCGAGCATCTAACCCAGCGAGCGTCTAACCCAGCGAGCGAAATAAAGGGTTCAGTTCGACATTCCAACCACCTGAAGAAGGCCGGAGCGTACAACGGTCGAAACGTTGTGATAAATATGGAAACAAATATGAGGACGATAGTCCGAACAATATAAATAGTGTACATAATACCTCATCTCAGAAATATAGACAGATACTCAGGTAATTATAAATAATTTTCTTGTAACGCGTTGGATCAGTCTTTTGTCTTTGGAACCAACTCAATTTTTCTTGGTTGCGATTCGACGATGTTCCATATTTTTATTTTGCTATCTTATAATTTTTCTAGATAGATTAGATACACACACAAGGTTCGAATCATTTTCTATCATACCCCTCATGTTAACGTCTTAAGCAACGTAGAATCTGGTCAGTACTTAAATTGATGGCCGCTTAGCAATACCAGGTGCTAATTAGTATGACTTATATCATTAAATCATTCTTCTTCATTATGTGCCGTCTCCCGTCAAGACGTAGGCGATCATGGTCGCCACAATTTCCTCTCCTATATAGCGCTTAATAAAGTTCGTTTCATTGTTATTTTTCCTAAACTCTGTTCCATTTACTTAAGCTCATCAAGCATGTTACGCGCTGCTTTCCCCTGTTCTTCTTATCCTCAATCTGTCCTGTGTGTATCAGATTTTCCAAGCCCTCCTTCCTCATTATATACCCCAAAAGATTCAACTGTCTCTTCCTGATATTAAGTATTAGTATCCTTTTTGCTTCTATTTTCTGCAAAACTACGTCGTTGCTCACATGTTCGATCCATGGTATCCTCAATATCCTTCTGCAGAACCACTTTTCTGTTACTTCAAATATCTTCTTTGAGGAGATTATACATCATTCACTGTCATATAGGGGGACACTTTTCTTTGTTTTTCTGGCAATCTAAATAAATTTTCTGGCTTTAAATAATATGCAATGGGTTGATAAACCGTAAAGAACAAATCATTCAATTATATGTGGGGTATATGATTAAGATCCGGTATCTGTGAGAGGCTCTACAAAAACTGAGAATCATCAGACAAAATTTTTCCAGTCTTTTATTCTCCAGATTTTGTGATCCATAGTAAATTGTATCCATGTTTTACTGGCTGTATTTGGGAATGAAAATATTTTTGTTAATGTAAAAGTTTGGTTGCTGATGGAATAAAGCCCGAGGTCTCTCAGATGATTAATGGAGAGAAGTTTCATTTTGGTGGCGTTAAAATTGACAAGCCATCTCTTGTCCCGGTTAATGACGATCTTGAGGTCGTTTTGTACATCAGCTGCCATTTTGACAATGTCTGACTGATCAGCCATATTATCGAGGCAGGTGTAAATAGTAGTATCGTCGGTATAGATGCCAAGTTGAGAGCTGATGTCATCGGAAAAGTCCTTAATGAAGATTAAAAACGCCAAGAATTGAGTACTGGAGGACGCCCGCGTTAGTACAAAACGGTGTCGACATGTGGTCGTTTAGGAAAACTTTCATTTCACGATTTCATAGGTTTGACTGAATCAGCACAAACACGTGCCAGGAGATACTGTAACTATACTGCAGAAGGCATGAATGTCAGATCCTGTCAAAGGGTTTTAAGATGTCCATTGCTACAGCCTGGGCTTCACTGTTTTTATCTAGAGTATGATAGATTCTTCTCGCAGTTATCGTTAGTACAACAGTTCATCTGGGGAAACAAAAGTCGTATTGTTTGTCTGATAAAATACCCTGTGATAAGAGATGATGTACCAATTCAGCATTGATTAGGTTCTATAGAAGTTTCCCAAAAAGTGGTTAACAGCCCGATAGTTGGATGTGTCTGACAGTTTACCAGAGTTCTTAGAAACTGAAACAACAGACGATGACTTCCAGCAAGCAAGAAAGTAGGAGGCTGCGAGGAAATTCTTATACAGTTTGGTGCGAACTGTAGCTAGTGCCGGAACACACTTCTTAATGACTATTACAGGGATGCGATCGGGTCTTTGTGGGAATCAAGGTCAGAGATGATATCAAAAACCATGGAAGGTGTTATATGCATATCACCCAAAAGAGAATCAGTTCTAAGTAAGATGTTAAGGATGGATACTCCTGATGAGTTAAGAGTAGTTTGAGGAGAATTTACGGGCAAAGCATTCGGCTTTATCAGATGAGGATGATAACACCTCAAATCGATTAAATAGTTGAAGAATAGAGACCTTGCACTTATTTAGTACCCTATTTCAGAGACGCCAGTTGTCAGAGAGCCAAAGTTTTTAGAGGCTATGCGGTGCCTCATTTTCTCAGCAAACAGGGACTTAGCCTATTCGAGGACTCGCTTACATTTGTTACGGGCATTTATAAATAGCGTACACTGAGTTCTGGCGGTAAAAAAAAAAAAAAAAACAGTGCTCTAAATATACAACTTGTTTCTTGCCATACCAAACAGTGAGGAACAACATAGTTATTTATTAATATATATATATATATATATATATATATATATATATATATATATATATATAATATTAAATAATAATATGGCACCAAACAGCAGTGAGGAACAATATATTCATTTTTAGGTATATATATATATATATATATATATATATATATATATATATATATATATAAATATATATATATATAAATATATATATATATATATATATATATATATATATATATATATATATATATATATATATTCTATTAATAAATTAAGGAATTATATTCATTTATTAATATTATATACATATATATATATATATATATATATATATATATATATATACTATTAATAATTAATGTTGTTCCTCACTGTTTGGTATGGCAGTGAGGAATATATATATATATATATATGTGTGTGTGTGTGTGTTAAATATTGTGAAGACAGATAGATAGATAGATAGATAGATAGATAGATAGATAGATAGATAGATAGATATGAAGCTTTAGTTACACAGCTATGAATAGCCAAAGACATAAATTGGGTGATATATGTGAACTTATATATACATATATAGAGAGACATAGATATAAATAACCTGGCATAAATAGATAGATAGATAGAAAGAAAGAAAGAAAGAAAGAAAGAAAGAAAGAAAGAAAGAAAGAAAGAAAGGTGGGTAGGAAGGTAGGTAGGTAGGTATATAGATATGAACTGAGTGCGACTAAAGATTCCGTTATGTAAGCCGATAAGTTCATGTGGTGGCGTTCGGTGTCTATAATTAACGCACGAATGCCTCTATTTTCGTCGCCATCTATTTTTATTTCATCGCAAGAATAGCAGCATCCCCCCCTGTTGTTTGTTTGTTTATTTGTTTGTGATTTTTTTTTCTAAAATATATATGAACAAATGAAATGTACGAAATGAAACGAAGAAACAAAACCAAATTCCTGCACCGGTGATGACAAAATATATCAAAATGGTGTCCTGACGTATAGGTAACGGGCCTTGAAAGAGAAGTTGTGGGGGTTGGGACGAGTTCTGTGAATACCATTCATTTTTGCCCGATTCACATTATGGTGTTTCAATTCGCAAGTAATTACTCAACGCTATGACCTTCTGATTGTAGTTAAGTTCGCGTATGTTGAAGTTACCCTCTCTCGCTCCTCCCCACCAGCAACTTCTTTAATCTCACTACAACCGAAATTTTGGTAACAACAACAACAACAACAATAATAATAATAATAATAATAATAATAATAATAATAATCACTATTATTATTATTATTATTATTATTATTATTATTTAAACTCTCAGCTGAATAGAACCGCTTCCCAAGATCAATGATGAAAACGGCTGAGAGTCTTCGCAAAGTTCATCCTTCTTTGAATAACGTGGACTGGAGGACTTGAGGACTACCAAATGTAGCAACAACAAAAATGGATAGCACTCATAGAGAAAATGCATAATATGTATCTTAACATTCCACAACACAACGAGCAAAAAAAGTTTAGGAAGGAAACCTCCACTCCGCACTCAACACTAGAAAGAACGATAACAGCTACTGGACTTGAGAAAACTATTCTCCTGAAAAGGTTAGGAATGTAGTCTCCGTCTATACTGGAAAGAGCGATAACGGCTACTGGGCGTGAGAAACCTATTTTCCTGAAAAGGCTACGAAGATAGCCCCCATCTATCCTGGAAATCTATACTTCATTTTCAACTGGTGAATTTTCCTCAGTGGTGTTCTCCATCAAGTCCCACGTCGTCATCCAGAGTGCAGCTTCCCAGAAAATTTGCAGACCGAAGCAACGCAGAAATTTTTATATATAGGTTGGTAAATTTTATTTCGATGTTCACAGTTCTCCTTCAGAAACCAAGTTCAAATTATTGAAGAGGGTGTTTCAAAAAGGACAAGTGAAGGCTGTGGGCCTAACGGGAGACGTGAAGAGAATGGGTCAAACGGGACAGGTGAAGAGAGTGGGTCAAACGTGAGAGATGAAGAGAGTGGGTCAAAAGGGACAGGTGAAGAGAGCGTGTCAAAAAGGACAGGTAAAGAGAGTTGGTCAAAATGGAAGGTTGAAGAGAGTGTTTCAAAAAGGACAGTTGAAGACTGTGGGTCAAATGGGAGAGGTGAAAAGAGTGTGTCAAAAGGGACAATTGAAGAGAGTGGGTCAAAATGGAAACGTGAAAAGTATGGATCAAAAGGGATAGGTGTAGAGAGTGGGTCAAAAGCGACAGGTGAAGACTATGGCTCAAACAGGTGAGGTGAAGACTGTGGGTGAAAAGTGACAAGTGAAGAGAGTATTTCAAAAGTGATAGGTGAAGATTGTGGATCAAGAGAGATAGGTGAAGAGAGTTTATCGAAATGGACAGGTGAAGAGAGTTGGTCAAAAAACAGGTGAAAAGAGTGGGTCAAAAGGGACAGGTGAATAGAGTGGCTCAAAAGAGACAGGTGAAGACTGTGGCTCAAACGTGAGAGGTGAAGACTGTGTGTCAAAAGGGGCAAGTGATGTTTTAAAAGAGACAGATGAAAAGAGTGGGTCAAAAGGGAAAGGTGAAGCGAGTGGGTCAAAAGATGCAAGTGAAGAGAATTGGTCAAAATGGACAGGTGAAGTGAGTGGGTCCAAAGCGACATGTGAAGACAATGGCCACCTACCTGATGAATTTTTGCGAATGGATGGCTGATGTTGGTATGAGGTTTAGGAACAGGATAAATGTTGCTAAGGGATAGGGAGTTGTGAAGATCCATGATAGCACACATACTGAGGAACACGCCAGATAAAATTTTAAGCTCGCTTGTATAGATCCCAACGCCCTAATGATAACTGGGGCAATAGTAACCAGAACATTCCACATAATGTCAACTTTAATTCAAATCTTTTATCATTATTATAATGATAATATTAGGTTGGTGCAAAAATAATGAAGTAATAATGTCGTTTTGTGATGTATTTTTAACGTCCAAAAACGACATTATTACGTCATTATTTTTGCACCAACCTAATAATTATTAGTTTAATCGAAGCATCAAGAAAGGCCAATATAATGTAGTTAATTTTGCATTGCAATGGAATTATATTTTAGTAAAATTTTCTTGCATTTTCTAACTTCAGTCTTTTCTGGAAATTAAATGAACGTTATTCTTTTCAATAATTAATAAATATGACTTCTGTTGAGTTGATTTCAATCCCTAGGTCGGGTAGTGTGTTCTCTTATACTTCGAGTCCCAGTTAGGGGTTTATAGGAATTGGTTTACCTTTCATAATAAAGTTAGCGCTATGTTTGGTGGTCAATATTCACTGCTTTTGATGGTTAAACTGGAAACAGGCCTGGGCGACGGTATGTGGAGACCATGCGATACCCAGACTACATTGCTCGTCCTCTCGGCCGGGCCGACAATAAATACACTTGGGGATGGCTTGGCTGCAGGGTTTTCCGAAAAGTCAATGTTGACAGCCAACTGAGTTCAAGTCTTCACTTCGGGTTTTCTTGTCTATATTTACTTCCATAGAATCTTCCGCCTTTGGATATGACCACAAGGAAGCGGAAGTTTAAAATAAGGCTTTTCCTTTTACTAAATGGACTGACTTCCTTGGCTGTCGGGCTCCATCTACTCAAAGCAGCTTGGATCTGGGCTTACATATCAGAGGCCATTTGATAAAGCATTTTATAGACAGTGGAATCTTGTTGCCTACTATCACCCGAATCTATGAAAAGCTTTGGAATATTATCTACGTATATACACATTATATTCAGTGCGTCGTTTCGAAGCTCACAAAAAATTAATAGATTTTAAAATTATATGAAATGGTAGGTATGCAAGATCACAAGAAAGCAAGACGATTTATGATTATAGTACGCAAAATAAACATAAATATCTAAAAATTGCTAATTTTAGAAAAAGATAGCAGAATCAAAAAATGAAAATATAAATCGAGATTTAAAACTAAAACACTCGGAGATAATGAAATCCTGATTTAAGATACGATAAAATAATTTATACCTTTCTTTTGGGGGTGGCAATAATAACACATAAACTATCAGCTGATAAACGATGACCGAGAGTAGAAAATGCAAAGGTACGCCAAAACAGAAAGTAAAAATAAGACAAATCAGGTTAGTTGTACAAAAACAAGCAGTAAAAACCTATTTACTAGGGAAAGCATATCAGCAATGACTAGCGAGGTATAATTTTGGTACGATAAGCCACAGGGGAGGCTACAGGGTTAACACACAAACACACACACACACTTAAATAGATTGTTCTCGACTTTTATAATCGCGATTGTTTTTTCTCTTAATCTATTGTTAATACTAAACAATCTTCTTAAAGATGAAGAGATTGAAGCAGCAGAAAAATGGTTCTACAGAAAGATGCTGAGAATACTATGGATGGAACAACGTTTTAGAAAAAATGGTAACAAAAATGACACTTGTACTTAACATCAGAAAGAGACTGTTGAAATATCTATGAAACCTAATAAGGAAAATGGGCTTGGAAAATTTGACACTCACTTGATATATTAAAGACAAGAGAAAGACAACGCATCACCTACCTAACGAACTTTTTTAAATGGATGGAAAACAAGGTTTAGGACAGATAGCAAAACAAACAAAAAATGATTAAGAGCTACAATGGACAGGAAAGGTGGCTAGCCGTAATAGCGTACGTCCTGAGGGTACACATTACATAGAATAAAAATTGGGTCAAGAAATGACTTTTAAATTTTAACACCTCGAAAAAGACATTTTTCTAACCTTTAATCAACATAGATAACCATTTTTGCCTGCGATAAGTATGGCTAATGCTAACCTCCAGAAGAGAAAATTATCTAGCCTACTTGGTCTCACGTTTTCTATTATCATGAGTTCGAGGCATTATATTGAATCAATTGCTAGGTCAACTGATAAGAAATACGGTTGGCTCCCTATATTGTGCTAGATAATTTTCTCACCAGAATCAATCTAGTATATATATAAATCTAGCATTCGTTCGTGTATTGAATAATGCTGGCATATCTGGTATGTCACTCCGGTATGTAATGTTATAGGTCCTGACCTGGCATCTCAACTTCAGTCATTTTCTGTCACCGTGACGTGGCTTCCGTCTCTCTTTTGTATAAATATTTTTTCTGGGGGGTGTTCTAATGCGTTCTCCACTTGTTCTTTTTGTCGATTTTTGTGCTAACTAAAGATTTCTCATTTTATTTCAATCATGGTAACAACGTGCATCTTAGTGATATCTTCGTTTGGGGTGAACTTCATCAGTCACCCCATATCAATTTGACTACCATTTTCTTTCTAAGTTTCATGCAAATCTGTACGGATATTTTTTCTTTCCGGCTTATCTTTTAGAATTTTTACATTGGTCACTTCTATTTCTCCGTCTCTCACACACACACAACACACACTCATTTTTATTCTGTTTATAGATAAGTGCTATGGAAGATCATGTTTATCCAAAGCTTCCTGTTTTTGTTTCAGATAGCTGTTCATTTCCGACAGTAGTTTTTTTTCCTGCACTTGTTCCTCTGTTCATTTCCCCAGCATTTTTTTTTTAAATATATCCTCACAGGTTTCTGTTATATTCGCCGTTGCATGGAGTATTGCTGCCATATATGGTCTGGAGCCCCTTCTGTTTGTCTCAATATAAAATCCAGAGACGGATATGCAATGTAATTAGCCCAGATCTTGCATCCCGTCAGCAGTCACTTTCTCACGGAAGTGCCGTCGCCTCCCTCTGTCTTTTTTACAAATACTTTAATGGTAAATGCTCCGATGAGCTGCTTTCGCTTGTCCCCGGGCTTCATGAAGTTCTGCTAGGCTGGCGTTTCGCTCTCACCCTTTCACTGTCGAAACTGTTAAATGTAGCCGTCTCTTCTACTCCAATAGCTTCATGTCTCGCACTTCTCACCTGTGGAACTCCCTCCCCTTTTCCTGTTCCCCTGATAGCTATAATCTCCAACTATTCAAATGTAATGTCAATCGACGTCACCAGATGCCTTGATCTATCCCCTATCCTTCTCGTCATCCTTTCCTCTATCACTCCTATTTGCTCTCGCTCTAACTCTCTGTAACCCCTTGCGTGCTAGAGGCTTCCCACCTTGCTTGGGGTGAAACGCTTAAATACACACACACACACACACACACAGACAGGTATTTTTATGGTAATGGGAGGAAAAATTGTCATCGGAAAGCCACTCATACGTAGGCAGGCATACATACGCTCACGTTCACGCACTGCAGCTCACATAAAAAAATTTTCTTTCCACTAAAAACGCCGATATACTCAACCATATATAAATCCAAAATTTAAAGATTAATTAGTTTGTCTGATGATTGCAAATAGCATGAAACCCAGGTTCACAAACTCATATCAATATATATATATATATAGCTTTAATGAAACCAAACCCAAGGTTTTCTTAAATTTTTCCAGACTTACAACATTAGCTAAATGACTGACCGCTCGGATGTGCGGGTGGTGTAATGGATAATGTTTTGGAAAGAGAGAAAGGTGAGACGAGTTCCAATTGCAGTTACTTACGTGTAAATACCTTTTCGAAAGGTATGAATCCACCTCTATTCCAACCAGGTATATATTGATTATTAGGAAAGGTTTTAAATTTTTGCAATAAGACACCAAGGGTTACTGGGTATAAAATAATATACTTTCTCTTCTTTTTATGTACCGTGTCCCTTCAGGACATAAGCAATCATGGCTATCCACTTCTCCCTATCCTTTGTAGCACTTAATAAGTTTCGTCCCTCTGCCACCCTCCAGACCACCTTCTATAATCCATTTGCTTAAGCCCACCAGGTATGTCATACGTTTCTTTACTTTGCCTCTCTTAACCTGTGAGTATTAGATTCTCCAGGTCCTCCTTTCTCATTACGTGTCACAGAAATTTCAGCTGCCTCTTCCTGATGTCAAGTATAAACCTCCTCCTTGTTTGCATCTTCTCTAAGACCTCATCGTTGGTCATACGCTCGATACATGATATCCTTAGAATCCTTCTGAAGAACCATACCTCCGTTGCCACGAGTCTCTTCATCTTTGAGGAGACCGTCCAACATTCGCTGATATGAAGGAGGACATATTTCACGTAGCAGCTCAGTCCTCTTTTCTCGGTTACCAAAGAAATTCTCCTGTCTCGCAATATGCTGCCCAGCTTTTGCAATGCGTCCTTTGCCATAAAAGAATATAAGAAAATGGAAAACATTATTATAAAATGAAAACAATTA